TGCCGTCGTGTTTCTCTCCCCTGAGCTGCACGCCGGCTTACATAGGAATTTTTTTCTTTTTCCAATCCCACTTCTTCTTGGTCAGGTTTTCTCTGTAAGCAAGTACGTGTTTGTCAGTTTTTCGCATGATCAGATTAATATGAGGGTGGATTAATGTGTTCTGCCCACAGGGAGATGGTGTAGTCGAACAAAAAAAAGACTTGCTCAGACTGAAGAACGCCGGCGTGGTTACTTCTGGCATAAAACAGAAAAGTTTGGAAGGTCTTACAATAGACTGAAGTAATTAAAAATGTACTTCCATTGCCCTTACTTCAGATACTTCACACCTAAACATGTGGAAATTTTACTTAGGCTTCTGAAACATATGAAAGCTTCATGGGATTAGTAGTATGAGCGGGGGGGCAGTGGGAATAAGGTAGCTGTCTCTTCTTTCTGTAAAGCGCTTGTGGAGCACAAAGGAAGCCGTGACCCTTCATTCAGACCGTTCAGCCCCTGTGGAGGAACATGTCGACCTCACTGGGCAGGCTGCGGGAGGCTATTGAATGGCACTTGAGTATTATAATGTATCTCATTTAGATTGCTTAGTGTTACTCTCCATGGGAGAAGTTGAACTTAAATGGGAGAAAGTATATTCTTTTCAGAGTACAGACATGTGGAGAAGCACCAAGGTTCAAGCATGCCCGAAGTTATTAGAAACATAACGTGCCTGCTGGGTGTAATAAATTTACAGGTATAACCTGGAGACAAGAAGTAGGAAGAACAGTTTTTTTTGACAAAACCATACAGAAACTGGCTCTGTTTTCTGTTTATCATGTGTATAATAACACATGAAGTGTGGGTGGTAAAGCTGTAAGAATGTGTACTACTGGTGCACAAGTAGTGCTATGGATGGATTCAATAAAAAAAAAGTGGTAGTAGAATAGTCTGTTTATGATGTGCATAAGTTTTATACTGTTAGATTTTTATAGGAGAAGAATGGTGAAATTACTAATGCGATTAGGTTCTAGTAAATAAGGGTAAAATCAAGTAAGCACACCAGTTTAAAAGTTCTTTCTAATTGGGTTTTTTGTTTTGGACTGCTTGGAAATTATACATGTACACTAAACACTGTAATAGAAGCACTGTTTTTTCCCTGTGTGGGTTGGGGGGAGGGGGGTTGTCTTTAAAGTGGAAAGAGCAAAAATCAAATGGGTTGCTTGCTCAATATGTCTTGGGAACAACCTGTAATAACAAGATTAGGTTGACTGCATTGCTTTCCTTTGTTACAGGGCCTGCGGTTTGAGGTGGTTCCATCCTGGTTTAAGGAGACACTTGAAAAGTCATCTTTTGCAGCCCCTTATGAGTATGCTGTGGAAACAGCAAAACAGAAAGCTCTTGAAGTAGCAAACAGAATGCATGCAGTAAGTTACCAGCTATTTCGGCAATGAGATTTTTGTCTTTAAGTAGTGCATGTTACTGTGACTTAATTTGCGTGTACTACTTAGGTGGTCTCTGAGTGCATTTTCCCCACTAGAGGGAAATGGAAGTTCTCTGTCATTTGTGAAAGATAGCTTCCTGAAATTAGCTCACCTAATCAAAAGCAGGTCTCATGCCTGCAGTTCGGGCTTTCCATAAACAGAAGTGGCCTGCATCTCGTCAGCAGTGTACCTACTTTCGCTTGGGTTGTATACTTGGTAGTTCCTTGTAACAGTCAGGTGTGTGGCTGGATCTTATCCTGACACAGGATTGTACCTGTTCATTCCAGGTATTTGTTGACTGTGGAGGCAGATTCTATAGAAAAACACACTGATGTAAATCCAGTGCTTTGCTGTAGCTTTCATTGAACAGTAGTTCAGTTGAACAGTTGTGACAAGAGAATAGCTCAGAATTTGTGAGTATAGAGGTGCTGGAAGAAAGCAGAAAAAGAAGACATGTTCTGTTTTAAAGCATTGTGGACAAAGAAACGAGCAATTTCATTTTAAGAAGGGAGAAGCTGATGTGATTTCAGGTTCTGTAGTCAAGGCATCCATTTTGTATCAAAACCAGTGGTACAACTTACACCATCAGTGGCGTATTTGACTTTGCCCTTGGCTGTGATCACTGTGTTTGAGCACATAAGGCTGTTCTCTACCAGAACCTATTCAGAAGTCTAGCTGATTAGATCCCACAAAATGTACCATAATAATTTCCTAATAATATAGCTCTGAAAGAGAGGAGTATGTTTGTCGAACCTGTACTGATGGCAGAAAAGGAATGTTGAACACTTTAAACCAACAACGTTGCCAGATATCACCATTCTTCAAAGCAAATATTGCATGATCTCCTATGTAAATCGTTATCCAGCTTTCCGTTGACTTCTTTTCAGAGAATCGTGTGACATTAGGAGAGTGGATTTTAAACCCAACCTCGCTAACTGACTTACATTGGGCTTTCATTGCAAAACACTATGCTGGCGATAATGCTAGTTCAGTGGATTTCAAAATGCTGCTTCATACAGGATTTTTTTTTAATGATAGCTTTAATTAGTTCTACTATTTAAAGCACATCAACAGCCTTTCTATAGAAGAATCACCTCCCTACAAAGTTTTTCATATAATGATCACAGTTACAGACAAGTTTCCTGTCTTGCTTTGTTAAATAATAACTGTGTACCTCATAACGTGCAAGTAGATCAAAACTCAGCTATAAGAACATATTATAGTTTAAAGCCAAGAAAAGGCTACAAGGAATCTTTATATAACCCTACCTCTCAGTTCCCCAGAATGGTCTGTGTGTGTTCCCTTTTGAGAGAGATAAGCAAAGTGTAGCTAAAGAAAGTTTGGGGTTTTTTCAGCAAAACTTGGCTTGGAAAAATCATCCTAGAGGGCTTCAATGCTGTATTCCCTGACTTCCATACACTGGGCACTTCTTTTAAAGGAATTCTGTATGCCACCTTGAAGATCAGGTTGACCTTTGAGAATGCAATTAGTTCTTTACTGAGTGCATTTGTTCATCAGTAACATATTTGGGCAAAATCGTGACCTGAGAATGGTCTGCTCAAGCCTCCTGTTTTCCTCCTTTTATGGTGATATAAATGATTACTATTTTGTAAACAATGCAAAAGGAGAAACAGTGTCTTGTTTTCAGGTCAGTGTAGAGCCCTACCTGTAAACCGGCGAACTCATGTTTTCTTACCTTAAGTTTTAAAAGGTTTTGTTGTTTCTACCTCTTTTGAGAAATACCTTCTTTCTTTATGCCTTTGCAGAAACACCTGAGAACACCTGATGTTGTCATAGGAGCAGACACTATTGTGGTAAGAAGTCTTATGTGGTTTAGCATTGTTTTAATTTGTGACAAGTGTAGAAAATACTTGTATCTTTAGGTTTGAAGTTAAAGTTTGAAAACTGTCTTCACTGAGAAGTTATACCCGCAGTATGATGTGTCTCTTGGGTTTTGTGGGTGTGGGTTTTCAGGTTTTTTTCCCAACAAGGAAATTTTTGATATCTTGAGTGCTAGAAGCCTTGCTGCTGTTTTTGCAGAGACACTAGTATTGCATAAGTATTGCCTTGGATCCTCTAGTATGTAATAGAAATTCTGTTCTCGGGCAACTGTTGACTGTCAGGAAGTCCAGATTATGTGAACTGTTCAATATTGTGCCTTGTAGCGGGCATCACTTTATACCTGTCATCTCCACAGAGACAGTGAGCGGTTAAGGACAGAAGAAGTTGAATTATGCTTTTGTTTGAGAGCTGCAGCCACTGGAGGGTAGAGTGTTGCACTCATTATGTGCTTGACACTAAATTACCTGTTCTACCAAAGTGTCTGTGCTTCTTGCTCTACTCAGTAGACTCATGTTTGAAGCCCTGGCTGAAATCATGGTTTAAACATAATTTCTGACCTCAGTTTCTGAAAAGTAAGAAAAAGCAGCACACTCACGCTGTCTTCCTGTTTTAGACTGTGGATGAGCAGATCCTGGAGAAACCAGTTGATAAGCAAGATGCGTATAGGATGCTGTCAAGGTCTGTAGTTTTAAGTAAGATTCCAAATGTGTATATTAAGCTGTTTTAAAAGAAGCTGTACAGATTCCTTGATGTATATGACGAACTCTGTGGACACAAATTTTTCAATCATTTTTAAATAGTGTAAGCCAGTTCTGCCACTGAAAAAGTTAGACCTGTTTTTACGTTACCCACAGCTGCTTGCTCTTGCCCCTTCACCTGAGGAAGCTGATCAGGGACATAGTGAACCATTTTGTTTTCGCTTTGATTAGTTTTCAGAGTCACTTATCACAAGACTGTATGTATGCTTCAGCTGGTACAGGAAGGGGAGATCTGGAGAGAAATCATGATGTGAAAGAGGACAGAACCATCATAGAAGCGGTTTGAGGCTTGACATTTAATGGAAGAATATTGCATGTACAAGAAAGTACATGGTGATACATGTCCATGGACAATCGCTTTATATTCTATAGTGTAACTGAGGAAGAAAAATCTACTTCCATCAGTGTTTTCCATGGATGATGGGCTGGTGTTTTTTGAGGCTTCTGCTTTTTTCCTAAAGGATATTTTTCCCTACAAGCTTAATGTTACGTTGTAGCACTCTCTTTTTTTAAGAAACACCAACTAAATAAGTCTAGTCACCTCCTTTCTGAAGGATGACATGATAAATCCCTTAGTCACGCTTCTGTTTTATGGGGGGAATACAGAAAAGGTGCACTACTTGTTTCACCAGTTTACGCTCTAACTCGGGCATCCCCTAAAGAGAGAATACAAGTGGCTTGGTAGTTTTTGGAGTTTTGCTCTGTAAGTCTATTTTAAATAATTTTTTTATAATTGATGACTTAGGCTGAATTTTTGATCCTTTGTGGCATGTTACTAACTTAAAAGTAGTAGTCTTTTTTTTTAAAGTGACAGCAGCATATGTTATTAGTAGGAGATTCTCAAAGGAGTCTGTCTGGCAAGAGATTTCTCACAACTGCTTTTGCTTGAAATCATGCCAAGTTTGGTTAGTTCAAAAATAGTATTTTTTTTTAACAGCGCTTAGTCTACTTCTAACACATGCAAATGTTTTGGCTTTTTTTTAAGTTCAGTAGGTCAGTCTTTTAATCATGGATATGAAATGCACTTAAAATTTAGTTTAGAACTCCTTTTAATTTTGTTCTATATGAACAGGAAGAAATGCAGACAAGATATATATTTGCATATATCCAGGGTGTCAGATTAAAATTTTCACTCACTGTTTCATCTTACAATTAATTATGTGGAATCTTGTGGGGGATAGTAAGAGTGTGAGATGCTTCTGATCACATCAAATAATAGCCTGGCTAATCTCTAGGAGACTATTCCTTAATTAGTCTCTTCAAAGACCCAAGTTCTCATGCTATTTATTTTACTTCCATTGCTTACACATTAGATTAATAAATTTAAAGCCCTCAAAATTAATCGGCCACAGTGTGGCGCTCTGGAGCCACTACAAGAGAGCACATGCGTGTGGGGTAAGTGAATATAGGCTCTCTTCCTCAACACTCTGCATCTGTTACTCTGGCTTGCCATGGGATCCCTGGGGGCCAGTCTGGATTAAATGAGTACGTAAACTCTAGTTGCCTGTCACTTGTTTAGTCTAAGTTGCATCATCTAGCTATTTATTGCCAGCTTTCAGGGAAGATGCCTGTAATGGTAATGTTTGTGCTGATTGGCTTTTATGCATTTGAAATAGTCACTTCTCTCTGCGTACACTAAATAAGCTGATACCATGGACTACTGTTCCAAATTGTGGACATCGGTACAAGTGAGGTTTTGGAGACTTGAAATAACTGAATCTCTTGATAGTATTTTTTTGTTTTGCCAATGTCTTTTCACCTATAATTGAAATAAAATAACAAAATAAAACGTATTTAGTCAGGATACATGTCAGAGCCATCAAATGATGTATTAATATAATGGTCTGTTTCTCAGGCTGTAGTGACACAATCATGTAGAACATTTTTGTGCATGACAGATTTCATAAAAGTGTTGCTTAATGCACATTTTTTCCCTGACAGGTTGAGTGGGAAAGAGCACAGTGTGTTCACAGGAGTGGCTATTATACATTGCAGCAGTAAAGGTACATGTGTCATTTTATTTAAACTCAGCATTTTCATTAAAAATTACTATCATAAGGACTTGTACAAGTGAAGAAACAGGATGGAAATTTTTCATATACAGTCTGAATTGGCTTCCTATTCAAGATGAGAATTACCTTACCAATATATAAATTAAAAACTCCCCACAAAAGCCAACCTTCTTACTGTATTCAGTTTTCACACAGGAAAGAGGATGACAAAATACGACAGACTTTAGAAATGCTGTCTCTGAAAGCTATGGGACTAATTAAAAGACCAGTGTAAATTGTGGGAATATTCTAAATGAAATTCAATTAAGGCACTACAAACTGCGCTGAATCTGATCCATATTAACTTTATTCCTGTGTTCTAGTTACTCTAGGTGATGGATACAAGCGGTTGCCGTATCTGAGGATGACAAAATACGACAGACTTTAGAAATGCTGTCTCTGAAAGCTATGGGACTAATTAAAAGACCAGTGTAAATTGTGGGAATATTCTAAATGAAATTCAATTAAGGCACTACAAACTGCGCTGAATCTGATCCATATTAACTTTATTCCTGTGTTCTAGTTACTCTAGGTGATGGATACAAGCGGTTGCCGTATCTGTAGTTACTTCATTTTTCAGTAAATAAGGGAAACTTTAGAGCCCATTTTTAGGGGGTGAGTGAAGTAATGGCTTAATGCCTCAGACAGTTAATGAACTGTAGGGAGCAATACATCAATGTTCTTTATAAGATAATTTACACAGTAAGGAAGTGGTTTTTATGAGAACTGTGCCATTAATATAATTTGAGTAGTGTTTGGTTTGAGGGACTTCCTCTGATAATTATGCCAATATTCTTTTAGTGGAACTTTTGCAAGGATCATTTGTCTGAAATTTCACTGGACATAGTCTTTCTGTAGACAAATTATTTACAGCTTTTAGTCTTTACGGGGATGATTGCTCTTAACTCTTGTAACAGAAATAGTCAGTGAACCAGTACCCTTACTAATATGCTAGTACAGTAGAAAGAGAGCTGCTGCGAAAGAAATAAAACATGTTATCAATGGGTTCCTGTGAGCAATCCAGCAAGAATAATAATGCCTTTCATTGTTTAGGAAGACAGTAAAAGTGCACACAACTGCAGTACTGATGGTATGACAGCACGTCTCATTTGAAGTTTACAAATTTTAGCCACATCATATTTAAATGAATAAAAATACCATAAGTCTGTATATTCCCCAAATGATGCAATCAATGGAAGAGTTTTCTAGAATACATTTTTAGTTATAATTACAATGCTGTTGTTAAGTACCACATGTTACAGATGGAATTTTCATCTTGAGCTGATTGGTTTTTTTATCAATACTGAAAGACGTAGTAATATGTCTTCATATGCAACAACTTTTTTATTTCATCTGGGTCATTAAATGTTTTTTCAACACTAACGCCATTATCAGTTGGTTAGTGTATTCTTCCCTTGGTCTGTACTGTGGATCTTTCTTACTCTCCCTCAAGAATTTCCACTGCTGTCAGAACAGCAGTAACAGGAGATGCTGACCTTGATTTTTATAGGAAAAAGTAGAGAGAACTACTAACCTGTAACGTGCATGCTCATTTGTGCAAGGCTGTTTCCTTTTAAACATATTTTGGAAAAGCCTCCATCTGCAATGATATCAGATTCACAGTGTACCACATGCAGCAGGGTCCACACCCAGGTGTGCAGTACTGTATTGCACCTCTGGCCTTCTCTCAACCACTTCTAGATACAGAAGTCTGACATAATCTTGTTACTTCTTGAGAGATGATATGAAAATGACGCTGATGGTTACTGATGGGACTGCTGGATGCCTGAGTCTGCAGTACAGATACAGCTGCACATTCACATTCAAGCATTTGTAACAGCTACGTGTTTAACTATGATGTGTTGTTAAGAGTTCTTTGACAACAGTCATAAAGTTAGAAGGGTGTTTGTAGTCTTCTTTGTACAAGGTGCTGGATGTGAATCTATGATTCTATGTGTGTGCTGGATGTGTATGCTAGCTCTGCATAAGCATTGTTAATTTAAGAGTGCATCCCACACAGGGAGAGCAACCTGTTAGCCCCAAGACAGGACTGCAGAGGTTGAAAATGCAAGTTTTTACTTTTTGGGGGAAGTTGAGTCCACTGTCATAGAATCCTAGAATAGTTTGGGTTGGAAGGGACCTCTAAAGGTCATCTAGTCCAACCCCCCTGCCGTGGGCAGGGACATCTTCAACTAGATCAGGTTGTTCAGAGCCCCGTCCAACCTGACCTTGAGTGTGTCCAGCACATTATTAGTCATTCCATACATCTGTGTAGTATCTTTAATTTTTTCCCAAGCAAAAACATCAAATGAATATGAACTGAAATAAAACTGAGATGTTATACTCTCTAAACTACAATTTCTGTTTCTAATAACACCTCTTCCTTTCTGTAGATAATCAGCTAGAAACAGAAGTCACTGATTTCTATGAAGAAACTAAAGTAAAATTTTCTGACCTGTCTGAAGAGCTCTTATGGGAGTACATTCATAGCGGGGAGCCAATGTAAGTAAGACCCTGAAGCTATCACACAGTACTTGAGAATAGGCCTTAGGGTATGTTACTAGCCACCAGCATAAACCATTTTGCCCTGTGTTCTGTGAAATTTTGCTGTGTGTATATGATAAATGATAGTATGGGTGATGCAAGTTGAGTGTTCTGTTCTTGTCTAGAACTATCATTCCTCCAGGGAAAGTGAGCTACCTTTTTAGTACCCTAACAATTTTGAAAAGTGAAGACTGTCGAAATACTCTGGATTAGGGCAAGCACTCATGCAATATAGAATTACCTCTCTGTTAACAGAGGCATTCAGGGAGTTTGAATACCTGAGACAATGGGAAGTTCTCATTATAAAACAGGTGAATAGAGTGAGTATTGGATAATCATGGTATTGGAGAACTTTACTGAAAGAAGCCAGAACTTGGTTTATTTAGTTTATCAAAATCGCACTGTTCTGATGCAAGAAATGCCAACTTAATTTTCACTTATTCTTGTGGCCAGCTTATATGTGTTCTTATTCCGTAATTGTCTCTCAGCTTATGTGTTTCCTCTACCTTTGCAATATACTAGTTACTTACAGACAACATTGATTCCACAGAAGAAATAGGATGAGAACAGAATGCCTAACTACTCCTAAGATGAAGTTGACTAGATTGTTTAAAAAAAAAAAAAAAGTACTTACTTGGAGACAACAAGGGAATGTTGGTGACTATGGAATTTGCCTTTCCTTTGTGTTAGCTGAAGCTTAGTGAATGCAAATCAAACCATAGTTAGCACTATGGACTGCATATCTGGTGATCTGAGGTGAACTTTTGCCTCTGTAACTTCAATTTTGACTGTGTAAGAATATCAGTCGTGGTGTTTTTTACACTCAGTTGTGCTATAAAACAATACAGTCATGTTTTACTGGGGAAAGAGGAACCAGTGTAGACTTTGGATTTATTTAAGTGCTTATGTGTGAATGAGGCATACTTTCTGAACATGTAAGGTTCCCAGCTTATTAGAGACTGAAGCAAAATTGGATTATACAGAGAAGAATCTTTTGGCAAGAATAAAATTTGTAACAGAAATTCCTAGTTAGGTTTTTGGAAGGTGATCTTTAGTATGCAGCTGACCAGAAAGTTGCAGTTTGAAGGAGAAATGACCGTGGGTTTTCAGGAAGAATGTCAGGTTGAAAAATATTTCAGAAATTCTGATTATTTCCTCTGGAAGAAAATATGCTTTAGCAGTGCTGCGCTGCAGCAAAATGGCTCATGAGCAGCACTGGGTAATTCTGTTCATTCTGCTAAACAGGGTGTGTGACAGCAAGGGTTTCTCAGGGACCAAAGGTTCAGAGGATGTATTTCGTTACTCTCTGGAGCAGAAGCCAATCAATCTTCATTCATATAATCAAGAGGATAGGAAGCATTTGCTCTGGCCTTGGGAAGGAACTACTAAATATAGTGTCCTATAAATTTTGCAAAACAGTAAGAAGTCTCTCACGGGGTTTTTTGTTTGGTTGGGTTTTTTTTTTGTCCCCTCCTCCGTGGCCACCCGTACCGGTTACACATTTATGTACATACAGGTTTTTCTAAACACTATTGCAGTTCAAGTGACCATTTGTTTCTTTTTTTTTAATGGCAACTTAATTTGTGAAATCATACGAGACTTAATGGTCACATGAAAAATGAAAAGAAAATTGACTCTCTTGTGCTGTTGAGGATTGGATTGAGTTCTTTTTATAGCAGGGACAAAATTGGCGTATAGTATTTTAAGAGTCAGTCACTGGTGACACAGGAACTAATTCTAAAAACATATAGATGGCTCAAAGTATGAACAAGGGAGGAGTGAAAAGCACTATTTTGGCTGCAGAAAGATGGCCTTTCCTTTTCTGTTTTATTGCTGTTCCTCTTTCCCGCCAAGGATTTTCTTCCTGCTGGCAGGGTCTCTTTCTTCTTTTCTGGCTCTCTGTAGAAAGAGGGCTGGACCATAGTAATCCTAACTGTTTTGGGTTTGTGTAACGACTAGACTTAGTTCCTGCCAGCCTCTTTGACCCAGCTTTTTTGGTAATCTTTCCCTTGTGAACAACTTCCTCTGTCTCTGCTCACAACTTCCACTCTGAAGATCCTATGTGGTTTTTGGTAGCTCTGCTCTGAACGGTGGCAATGAAACCAAAGGACCCTACTGCACTCTGGGAAAGAGGTGATTACAGAGGCTGGAGTTCTACAGTTTC